CTCAGGTAATCCACTCACCTCAGCCTCCCAAAGTGCTGGGATTATAGGCATGAGCCATTGTGCTCAGCCTGGGCAATGTTTTATAAGCGCACCAATCCCATTCCCAGTCATCTCCCAAACCCTCACCTCCTACCATCATTGTCTTGGGGTTTAGGATCTCAATGTAAGAATCTGGTGGGGGACACAAACATTCATAGTGTAGCGTCTGACTTAGGTTCACTGTGCTGCTTTGCTTTGTGAATTTACAGTTTCCATCAAATATGAAATTTTCTGGCTATATTTTTGAGTTTTTTTTTCTGTTCCCTCTCATTTTGGTAGTCTCCTTAAAATAATGTCTCACAGGTTGATGAGCCTTTTTTCTTTCTGTGTTTTGGTTAGGTATATTTTATTGCTATGTCATGAGCTTCAGGTTCACTGTACTTTTCTTTTTCTGTATTTAGCTTACTGTTATCCCTATCCAGTGAATTTTCATTTCAGGTACTGCATTTTTTTTAATCATTAGAGGTTTCATTTGGATGTTTTTAATGTTTTTCAGTTTATTTCCTCATTATGTTCACATTTTCCTTTCCTTGAACATATTTATGATAGTCGTGTTAAAGTCTTGGTTTGCTATTTCATTCTATCTTTTTTCCTGTTCTGTTTCAATTAAATGATTTTTCTCTTGAATATGAATTACATTTGCTTGCTGCTTTGAATGTTGAGAAACTTTTAATTGGACGCTGAATCTTAGGAAAGTTATATTGTGACTGCTGGATTTTGTTGACTTCTTTAGAGGGTATTGAGCTTTCTTTTGGAGTTAATTGTGAATTAGCTTAATCCTTTTCAAGGCTTGCTTTTAAGTTTTGTTTGTATGCATCTAGAATAGCTTTACTCTAGGGCTGGTTTAGCCTTTCTACTAAGGCATGACCCTTGTGGGTTCTCTGGGTTCTCTGCTGATTGTCCCGGATGTTCAGCGAGGTTTCTTTACTCTGTTGGGTAGGAACTAGAATGTCCTCCAGTCCTTTGTGAGCTCTGGGGATTGTTCTGCTTACAGGTCTTTGGTAATTGTTTTTTCCATGGTAGTTTTTCTTTTCCTGACCTTGTAGACTCTTATCCTCAGCATGTTCAGCTTGGTCTTTCTTTGAAGATTCCAAGGCCCTTTAAATAGATTTCTGGCACTTTTTCTCTGTGTAGCCCTCCATCTATGCTTTGTTGCAGCCGTCACAAAGTTTAAATTCTGTTTCCTTTGCTCAGTGAGATTTTCACCTTCTGCTTGGGTTACCCCTCTATGCCACAGTCTAGAAAGCGCCTTTAGACAAACAGCTGGAGAGGTCTTGGTGCTCATTGTTACTCTAATTTGTGTGTGTTTCCAGTTTGATGCCATTTGCTTTGCCGCGCACAGAGCAGAAGTTGTCGAGGTCCCTTGGTTTTTGCTGGTAGCACTTTTCTGTCTTAGTTTCACCTTCTAGGTTTTGGCCACTGTATTGAATTGGGGATGTTAATTCTGAAGGCTGTGTTAGGTCAGGAGGCTTGTTAAGCTTGATGCTTAATGAGTTTGAGGTAAAATGGAGGATTGAAACTGAAATCATCAAGAGAACTGAAGTTACAGCTGGGGAGCATCAGTTTTGCTGAAGTGGTAAAGTGAGTGCATAATTGTGACAATGAGTATAGGTTGCTGCTTATAGTTTCTAATTAGTGCTATTGAAAGGGTACAAAAGACATTTCATGATTTCAGCTTGCATTTTTCGAATGCATATTCTTTGCCAGACACTGTTCTAGACATGGGGAGTATAAAAGTATAAAGTTGTTTTTAAACCTTTGGGGAACTCATTTCCTAACTGGATAAATAGATACATAATGTTAATATGATTTTGTAGTAGATTTTGTCGAAGAAGATGATGGCTTTATTATCTGATTTGGCTGGGTTTAGCATGCCATCCAACGTGATGCCGTGGTAGTGCAGGATATTAAGGTAAGAGGGATTTTATTTGCCAACTTGTTGAGGAAACGGTGCTTGAGTTGAGACTAGAGAGATTAGTAAGCATTAGGCAAATAAAGGTGTGCTTGGCATTTCATGCATAAGGAATTGCGAGAGCAGAGACATGGAAGTGTGAGTATGTGTATGCATGTAAATATAACTATAGCAGTTTGATAGTACTAAATTATCAAACAGGAGGGTGAATGGAGATAGAACTGTAAGAATTGACAGGGACTTGTAAACCAAGAGCTTTGACCTTTTTCAGTAGGGAATGTGTCACCTAATTAGGTTCAGCTGCATTTATTAGAACATCTTAGAATAGCCATTGATTACACAAGATACAAGTTCATTTTTCTCTTAAATGAAATAAGTCAGGTAGGCAGTCTAGGCTAGTATGGCCTTCTGGGATCAAGGCTTCTATTGTCTTGCATTTCCATCATTCTTTATAGCATTGCCTCAGTCCAGGTAACGGGAAAGAAGATGTCATTTTTTGTTAACTTGACTTCCAGAAACCCCTGTAAAATGCTTTTGCTTGCATCTAACTGGACACTTGATTATAAGGCTCCACTTTCTAGCGTGGGAATTACATTCACTTCTCCAAATACAATGGGATTGTGTTGGTGGGAAAGAAGAGGAGTAACTAGCGGTGGCTGTGATGGGAAGCCCTAGAGGAGGCGTGCGCTGGTCAGATGTTCCCTTTGTATTACTCTAAACGTATTTGGGGTGCGGGTTTGGGGAAGGAAGGGGAGCAGGAAAGACCGGAGTCCAGAAGACTAATTTGTTCTGGAATCAATTGTCTGGGTGAGAGATAGGATCTGATCTAGGGCTGCTACTTTAAGGATGAAAGAAGAGAATATTAGTTGGTATTTTGGTTGCAGGTAACAGAAGCTGAATTTAAATTGGCTTTTGCAAAAAGGAGGGTTTATTATTAGAGTACAAAATTCTCAGGAATGGCTGGAATTAGAATTGTGAATGGTTTTTTGTAATTTTCTTGTAATTTTTCATTTCCACCCTGAGTTCTATTTTTTTTTTAAATTTTTGCTGATTCCTATTTCTTATGACAGAAATGGCCTGTTTCAATGCTTTTCCAGTTCTTAGTTTTAGATAAGCCCATTTAGACCTGATTTCAGATTCCTGAGGAATGGCTCAGATTGATAGGAATTGGGTTAGATGCCTATCTTTGAACTAATCAGCGGTGGCCAGGGATACAGGTAGGCTCCTATGGTAATATGTATTCACTGTATGGTATATTTGATGAATATTTTAGAAATGAAAATGGTAGGCTTGAGTGTGTGAGGTAACATGATCCTGAGTTTCTGACTTGGTTAAGTGGGTGGTTGGTCGGTCCAGATAACTAACTTCAATAACGTACAAGGAGGAGTCGATTTTGTAGAAGAAGATGGCTTTATTTTCCATTCTTACCGAGGTCAGCATGCCATCCAACTACAGTAGGCAGTTAGTCAGTGAAACTTTGGTTAGACGAATTTGGAAGATATCAGCACAACTGATTGTAGTTCAGGCCACCAGAATGGATTTAATGGTCCATTAAAGGGAATGTTTAGAGATTTAAAAATGTCATGGGCATGGAACCCCAAATAACGTAGACATTTAAGGGCTGAGCAAAGGAGGAAGAGTTCATAAAGGGAATGGGGAAGAAACAGAGTGGGGGGAGAGCTGAAATGGGTCCTGGGAGTCAGGAAAGTGAGTCACAAACAGAGTTGTACTGAGCACAGAGGTCTAGAGAGCTGAAGACGGAAACATTTTGTTTAATTTGGCACAGTGGATGCCATTGGTGAGTTTGGAGAAGTTTCAGTAGATTAATAGGGACAGTAGATATATTGTAGCGTTTTGAGAAAATGTATCAAAGTGAGAGTGTGAAGGCAGTGCGTGTAGACTACTCTTTGAAGAAGTTCATCTAAGAGTGGAAGCTGGAATATTAATTCCTGCTAGAGGAGGAATATATAGGGTCAAGGAAGGAGGCCCTCACCCTAAGAAAAAAGGATGGGAAATGCTTGATCATATTTCTAGGCCATTAGGGATCTTTGGTTGATGCCTTAAGAGGAGAAGATAATTGATGGAGCAAGGTCCTAGAGGAACAGAAAGAGTTGGTATCAAAATCTTTAGAGCAGGATCTGCCTTAAACAGGAGGAATTAATTGGAAATAAGGATAGGCAGAGCCATAAATGTGTCGGGTGATGAGTAGGAAGACAAGGTGACCCCAGTTTTCTTGGTGAAGGAAGAGAAGACATCATTTAGTGAGAATATGGGAATTAGTATAAAGCTTGAGGAGGGTGTTGAGGAAGATAATGTTATCTGCAGTTTTAGATCAAGGGAAGTCTCAAAATGTGAAACTTAGGGGCAAACAGCAAGCTTATTTACCTGGGTGTTGTTTCCCCGTGCTAGTGAAGCAGAGATGTGAGTACTGGATGTTGGTAGGCACTGAAGCTCTGTGCTGAAGTGAGTTCTTTACTTGGCAGTTCTCATTTTTGTTTTTTTGCTTTCTCTTGGCTTGATAATAAATGGATAATAAATAAAAATAATTTTTTTTTTGTGGATTTAACTCAAACTAGTGGGTTTGCATTTTTTTTCTTTAAAATTCCTTTTTAAAAATCTTTTGAGACGGAGTCTCTGTCACCCAGGCTGGAGTGCAGTGGCACAATCTCAGCTCACTGAAACCTTCACCTCCTGGGTTCAAGCGTTTCTCCTGCCACAGCCTTCTGAGTAGCTGGGATTATAGGCATGTACTACCACACTTGACTAACTTTTTTGTATTTTTAGTAGAGAACGGGTTTCTCATGTTGGCCAGGCTGGTCTCGAACTTCTGACCTCAAGTAATACACCCACTTCGGCTTCCCAAAGTGCTGAGATCACAGGTGTGAGCCACTGCACCCAGCTCTTCAAAATTTCAATGTCATTTCGTAAAGGGGAAATACAGTATAAGCATTTTTTCTAGGATGCTGAATTTCTACTGCTTAACAGCACAGAATTTTTATATCAAAGTATGCAAATTTGAGGATTTCACTTATATGCTAAATGTTCCTAGAGCTCTGAAGATGAGTGGGTTGAGGCTGTTCCGTCCCAGACTCCTGACAAGGAAAAGGCATGGAAAGTGAAAGATGAAAAATCACAAAAAGATGACAGCCAAATTATGAAGGTAAGCAAGCCACCTTTTCCTTCCTTCCTTCCTTCCTTCCTTCCTTCCTTCCTTCCTTCCTTCCTTCCTTCCATACATCCATCCGCCTGTCCGTCCATCCTTGATTCATTCATTTTAGAGACAGGGTCTCACTCTGTTGCCCAGGCTGGACTGCAGTGGCACAATCATAGCTTACCACAGCCTCAACATCCCAGGCTCAAGTGATGCTCCCACCTCAGCCTCCCATGTAGCTGGGACCACAGGTGTGTGCCACCATGGCTGGCTAATTTTTTATTTTTTGTAAGATGGGGGGGTCTCCCTATGTTGCCTAGACTGGTCTTGAACTCCTGAGCTCAAACAGTCCCCCCACTTCAGCCTCCCAAGGTGCTAGGATTAGACACATCAGCCACTGCACCTGGCCTACCACTTGATTTTAAAGAAGTATCAACTTTTGAGAATAAATGAATATAAAAATGAAAGATGATTAAATTTTTTTCAGGAGAAAAATTAGACTTTGAAAACAATATACTTTATGAATAATTTTGGCAGTAATGCTGTTTGCTGAATGTTTAGATCCCCACTTCCCCTTCTACTGTGAAAAAGTGAGTGTTCCTCTCTATTCTCCTGCCTTAGAGGTTTTCATGCTTTTGATTGTTAAGAAGTGGCCCCTCCCACTTATGTACCTAAAGCCTTGTATTGTTCTGTCTGACCCTTCTACAGTGGGTAGAGTTCCGTCAGTTTTTCTTTCCCTTTACCTCATGCCTTAATTTTCATAACAATACTTAACAGTTGAATAGTTCACGGACTTTGGGTTATAGTTCATGTGCCTGAGGAAGAATGTAATCAGTTCACTGTTAGCCACAGGTGAAGGAGAAAGTGGACCAGGAACGAAGTTTAATTGCTTGTTGTCAGTTGCTAGATTGCCAGACTGGGCTGGATGCTTTAGATCTGTTATCTTGTTGACTCTTTAAAACAGTCTTGAAAGGTAGGGATTTTATACCATTTTATAGAGGAGAGAGTAAATACAGAGAGATTAAGAAACTTGCTTCAAGTTATGTCACCATGTTGAACTTGATTCAGGTTTCATTGCCTCCAAAGTCTTTGCTGTTATTACCAAGTGTTTATTGAATTCTAATCAGTTCAGATTGAAATGGCTGCCTTTTTTAACAGAGGGATGAGTGGATGACTGTTGATTTTATGTCTGTTAAAACTGTGTCGTCCTCATCACTCAAAGCTGAAAAGGAAGCTATGAGGAAAATAGAGCAAGAGAAAACCGAAGCACTTGAACAGGTAAGAGAGTATTTGAAATGCTCTAATTTTCTAATTTACCTTTAATAAACTGATAAGACATTTATTTAAAGCAGTTTAACTTGTAAAATATTATTTTTTATAGTATTTAATAAAATTAGTGAAAACAGCTGTGAAATGTGATCTCAGCTTAATAAGAATATATTTCCTATAGAAGTGAGTTAAAGGTTTACTGGGTTTATAAATCTAGGGCATATAGAAAGGTGAGTGACTATTGAGTTTAGGTTAATAGCATTAAATTGAAAGTGAACTCAACTTCCGTTTCAGTTGAATTAGATACCATAAAAATACTTCCATTTCAAGACATCTAGAATTTCTGGTAGATAAAATGTAAAGTAAGCACACTTATTTTATACTTTATTGTTACTGTGCTAGTAAGGAAGCAATGGGAAATCTGTAGAGACTGAAAAACGAGGCAAAAGCGTGAATGCAGAGAAGTAAGGCAGTGCCAAAGCTGCTAGCTTTTTAGGGTATCATGCAATCCTGGTAAGATGGAATTCCAATTTGTACCGCACCAGCAACATATGTTTCTTTTCCGTTACTCAGTATCTGTCATTGTCAAACTTTCTAGTTTTCTGTCAGCCTAATAAATGGATGAGAAATGGTATTTCATTTGTTTTGTATGCGTTATCTGATTCCTACAAGCAGATCTTTTTGTGTTTTTTGGTCATTCAGATTTCTTGTACTGTGAGCTACTTGTTTGTGTTTTTTGCTTACTTTTCTACTAGGGTTGTTTGTCTTTTTCTAACTGATTAAAGAAGTTCTTTATGTTTTCAGTCCTTTGTCTTTTATACATTTTCAGATAGTATCTCACAGTTTGTCTAGCTTCTTGTTGATTGTCCTCAGTGTGCAATTCTACCTTTTTTTTTTCCAGTTGACTATCTGATGTGTGTCTTTGAGTGTCTAGCTAAGACCTTTGGAAGACATTCCTTGCCTGTAGATATTGAAAGATTCTGTGGTAAACTAACAAAGGAGGTGACGGAAGCTTTTCTGATACAAACTAAGAAATAAAATCCCTATGGTTTTACGTATCTCTTTAGGTTAGTCTTTAACTTAAATTTTCTCCTTTGAAGATTCTTTACTTCCTGGTTAGCTCGTGAATGCATTTAAAAAAGCCTTTTTAAAAACAAATTTGACACAGCATTTTAATTTTTAGTAGTATATTGTATTCCTGGAAACTAAAGTTCCTAACCTTTGACTTGTTCCATTTCTTGCAATCCTCTTGCCATTTACTTCTTGTAGGAAGCATGTTTAACCCCCACTCCCCAAGGTCAAGTTATGTAAAATTAGTATGTAGTTCTTTAGCATCCTTTACTTTGATCTCATTTATCTCTATTTATATTGCCTGATTGTCTTTCCCCCTTCTCTAGACTGTAATTTATTTAATAGCAAGGACCATGGCTGCCTTACACATCACAGTCCCAATGCCTGACGTCATGCTTAGAACACAGGAGGCACTGGCATCTATGATGAGGCTGCTATTCATCTCTTGCCTGGATTACTGCCACAGACTTCTGACTGGAGTTGTGCCTCTACTCTTGTTTTTCTTCGGTCTTTCCTCCATGCTGAGCCTGGTTTGCTCTTTGTGTGATTTGAAGCTGATCATGTTCATGAGTCTCTGTTGGTCCCGTATGAAACCCTCACAGCGGTTCAAAATGGCTCACCTGGCCCAGTCCCTGATTATGCTACAACCTAATCTTGTGGCATTAGTCACTAACAGTCTAAGTTTTAGCCAGTTAGAATTACTTTAAGCTTCCTGAAAGTGCGGCACTTACTGCTGTTATTCTTTCTACCTGGAACATCTTTGTGTTCCCTCCCCACCACAAAAAAAGAAAATGTAGTTGATTTCTGCTCATCCTTAGGTCTAAGACTGCACATTTAGTCCTTCTAGGAAGTCTTTGATCCTTCAATGTGAGAAGGATTTGAATATTTTGTGGATCCTTCGTACTGTATATTTCTGTCTTCAAAGCACATGTCTGTTTTTATTGTCTGTATCCGTTACTGTACTAAAAGCTAGCAAGGGCTGACCAGGACTTTTGACAGTTAAATCTTCTACATCTAGTACAATTTTGAGATGTAGTAGGCATTCAATAAAAACATTGAATGAATGTGAATTTAGAAATTTCCTGGAAGTTACAGAACAGCATGTCTTAAGAACGTTGTAAGTGATTTTTCCAGGATTGTTGCTGTTAATTGGGTCTCAGATTTATTATTTGTTAATTTTTTTGTGATGGATCTGTTTTTGAAATTTCACCTGTGAAAATAATTTGTTCTAGTCCAAACTGATGGAAAGAGAATTGAATCCGTACTGGAAGGATGGAGGGACAGGTCTTCCACCCGAAGACTGTAGCATGTCATCGATTACTAAAGGTATTTCTGCATTTTGATTATAGACACACAGGCTTTTAAAAATTTTTTTCCAGACAGAGTCTTGCTGTGTCACCCAGGCTGAAGTGCAGTGGCATAATCACAGCTCACTGCAATCTCCACCTCCCACTCAAGTGATCCTCCCATCTCAGCCTCCCAAGTAGCTGGGACTACAGGTGCGAATCACCACTCCCAGATGATTTTTTGTATTTTTTGTAGAGACGGGGTTTTTACCATGTTGCATAGGCTGGTTTTGCACTCCTGGACTTAAGCCTGGACCTCCCAAAGTGTAAGGATCACAGGTGTTCCTTCAGCCTGTGAGCTACTGCACCTGGCCTCTGGCATTTCTTTTGGTATTATAAGTGTATGACCCGAGTTTACATATAACAAAGCATTGATAAAAATTTGCAGTCTTTTGAAGGCTAAATTATTAGTACTTTGGAAGATTGTTTTAATTATGATGTATTTGGGAACAAGTTAATTAAATACATAGTTTTGTACTTGAAAATATTCTCATATATGAGTTTCTACTTAAAATAGATTAATACAAAGCATGATTCTGTGAGTACATAATAATGCATTTGGTTTGTTATATTCTGTAACAAAATGTAAGAGTATTGTCTGAAATTTCATGAAAGTAATGTATAAAAACTAACGATGTAGTGTAGATATTCAGAATTTCCTGCTTTTCTGGAATTCATAAAATTTGTATTGACCTTAGGAGAGTTCTATTATTTTCCAGCAGATGGATACAAAATATTTAAATGTCACATAAGCATACTTTATAACACAATTTAAAAAACACTTATAATCTCATTAAATGTTGACACCTCAATGAAAAGTTTATTACAATTAACCCGGCATACAGATGGCGATATTATACATTACTATATTCTCTTTTCATCTTAGCGATTTACCAGTAGGATGTTTTCCTCCTTTTTTTACATAGTATTTTATTTTGGCTATTTGTTAAAATTCTTCTGTATTTTTTTTTTCACCTGGACTTCTACATATCTTTTGTATATATTTTTTTTTTAGACGGAGTTTCGCTCTTGTTACCCAGGCTGGAGTGCAATGGCGCGATCTCGGCTCACCGCAACCTCTGCCTCCTAGGTTCAGGCAGTTCTCCTGCCTCAACCTCCTGAGTAGCTGGGATTACAGGCATGCACCACCATGCCCAGCTAATTTTTTGTATTTTTAGTAGAAACGGGGTCTCACCATGTTGACCAGGATGGTCTCGATCTCTTGACTTCGTGATCCACCTGCCTCGGCCTCCCAAAGTGCTGGGATTACAGGCTTCAGCCACCGCGCCCGGCCATATCTTTTGTATTTTATGTAGTGATGTCAGTGGAGCCATCTTACAGTTTCCTTCTTAATTTAGCAATTTTACTAAGTTATTGGTAATTGTAACAGTTTCTTTTTTTGTCTCTCAACTTCAGGCAGAAGTGTAATCATATAAGGTTCTCTTTGAAATATTGTTTCATAGGTACTTAAGGAAAAGTTTGAGAAGCAGTAAATTCGCACACTCAACCATTACTGTAGGGCTGTTTTTGTAATCTAGGCTTTTACCATCCCTAGTGTCAGAGAACAGTCAATAAATTTCTTTGAGGAAAACCTAAAATCGAGAAACCCAGTCTTTGAATCTTGCCATTAGACAGGTTCTTCAGTGAATGGAGTAGATCTGGAGTTTTACTTTAGGTGGTATCTTTTAGCAGACTGAAACAGAAGATTCAAAGATACTGGAGAAAATCACCTTACAAAAAGCTTTGGAGAGCCCTTCTCCCACCCGCTTCATATCATGCTTTTACCACTTCTCTTTCCCATCTTCTGTTTATTCAGGAGAAAAAAATGACAGAAAGCTTCTGTCTGTCAGAGGCTAAGATCCCAGAGTTGAAATTAAGTTTTAAAAAATGATCGATGGGTTTTACTGCATATGTAGATAGAGTTGTCATTCTACTTAGACCAATGGTAGGACTGGAAGTGTTAGGCATCTGAAAATATTGCAGTGTCAGTATTAAGGTGGTACAGGTGACATAGTGTTATTGTTAAAGACTAGACTTTGCAGTCAGTCTACTTGGGATTAGAATTTTGGCATTTCCACTAATTAGCTTCATAATTTTGGAGACATTTGCTGGCCTTTCGAGCCCAAATTATTCATATGTAACAGGGAATAATGATGTTACCTATCTTACATAGTTAATGTGAAGATTAAATTAGAAAATCTTTTAGCACAGTGTCTGGAATTCAGTGACTACTCAGTAATGATGATAATGTCTGATATTTGTGTGATTAAATCTTTTGGGCAGTTTTTATCAACAGGTTTTTGTAATGATTGAAGTGACATATTTTCAATAATATGTTAATCTTGATTTTTTTCTTAGAATTCAGTAGAAAAGTAGGTTAATCATTTTCAGAGCCCATATAAAATTATTTTAAGTCATATTTTAGTAATGAAAATATTTGTAGAATTTTCGAATTTATATGGCAGAGTTATGTATCAGCTTTTTTCTTAGCAATCATGTAAAGGAGAGCAGTGTAGATGTTACATTAATTCTAGAGCTCAAGAAACTAAGGCTTAGAGTGGCCAGGTAATTTTTCCCTTAGTCATGTTAGTAGTACTAGAACCCAGGTCTTCTGATTCTTAGTCCAGCATTAGGTACTCTAGATTCTTTAGTGGAAGACTATTTTTATTACCATGTAGTTAGTAGAATTCTTGCTTACAGACTCTTTTGATGTGATTTTGTTCTTTCTATTTATTTTTTTCCCCCTGTTTATTTTTTGGCTTTTTCTGCTAGAATCTTTGAGTTGAAAAGATTTTGAAAGGTGGTTTAAATCAACTATTTTATTTTAGAGATGAAGGAGTAAAGGTCCAAAGAAGTTAATGACGTACTTAAGATTTTCCAAATATTTAATAGCAGCATCAAGACTAAAATCTAGGTTTCCTGATAGTTTATCGCTGTTTTTCTGTTAGTCTTTTTTCTGAGAGAATTGGGGAATATAGATTCATTTGGTTGTATTAATATTTGATCTGTAACAGTGTGACTGAGTTATGATGGAATCATACATTGAAATTTCTTAATTTTTTACTTATAAAGAACAGATTTGAAATCTAGGTGTATGTTAAATGCCACATATCAGTTAATTTATATAATTATTTGATATGTCCTTTTCTGAGCATAGAGGACCTGAACCACGCTACATTCATGCTCTATTGTAAGAAGGTTTTTATATTCATGATAAATATTCACTTAATTTTTTTATTGGATTTTGGGATGGTACTGCAAGTTGGTATTTTTTTGTTTGCTTTTTAAATACTAAGTTTGGTGATTTTTTTGTTGTTGTTACCAAAAAGACTTCATTATTGCCATCTCTAATTATAAGATAAATAGGACTATTTAAATAGAACATATTATCAACTAAAGGTGAAATTATTAAATTATTGTATAAAATATTAATTTAAATATTTCTAGAATTGTATGGATTTAACTAGTGAAGGAATTGGCTGAAAATTTTTATTCCCATTGGATTTTCTTTGTAAATGTCAACATAGAGGAGTAAAAGCAGTCTTACTTTTTTTCTCTGATTTTTTTTTTTCTCTGAGCTATTATATTTTGTTGATTGTTCGGGAAAGTTTTACTGCGTGCATCAGCATTTTTCCAGTTTCACAGATAATTTGTGGGAATAAACAGTTTAATTGTGTATCTGACACATTCATATAGGGATTTATTACTGTGGATTTCCAGTTTCACAGATAATTTGTTGGAATAAACAGTTTAATTGTGTATCTGACACATTCATATAGGGATTTATTACTGTGGATTTACTCATCGCCGTGTAGACTGGAGATTTAGACTAACTTCCTCGAGTAGTTGCATAGTTAACTTTGAACTCATAAACTACATGAATAACAAAAAAAGCAAGAGTAAAATAAGCTTTTGAATAAAATGTGAAATCATTGCATTACGTTAGAGATCTAGGTTTTGAAGTACAAAATATTTTAGGCCTATAAAGAAAAGTTATATTAGGATAGATTGCTTAGTAAAGACAAACTTCTGAGATCTGAATGAGGGAATGGAGTTAATTTGAATAGAATTAATTAGAGCCTTGAAAAATCTGTTTTTTTTTTAAGTAAACTGTTTATTGAAATGTAACATATATATAAAAATATTCAAAAATATTTAGTCAATATCTACAATGAATATAAAAACCTTTCTACCATGGCTTACATGTAAATTATGTGTGTACGTAAATACACAAACCATAAGTGTACAGCAGCAGACTAATCATTTTCATCAAATGAAAACATTTGTTTACTCAGCACACAGTTTGAAAAATCTTATTAGCAACCCAGATGCCCCGTTTATGGCCTTCTAGTCACTACCTGGTCACGGGAAGGGTAACCATTATTCTGTTTTCTAGTACCAGATACCAGTATATCCTCCTTTGTTTCAAGTTCCTTTTGCCCACATTTTGAGATTCATCCATGTTGTTGTGTATAGTTGTAGTTTTTCATTATCTTCGCTGTATAATAATAAATAGTATATTTTAGGAATATATCACAATGTAGGAGGTGTCCTGTGTACTATTGGTATACATTTCCTGGGTTGTTTCCAGGCTGGAATTATTGTAGTGTTCTGCTATGAATATTCTTACATGTGTCTTGGGGTCAATATGTGTGCATTTTTTTGGTTATAGAGCTGGGGCGATCTTAAAGCAGTCATGTTCTGGGGCAAGGAAAATAAGGAACAGAATTTTTTTTTTTTTTTTTTTTTTTGAGACAGAGTTTCGCTCTTGTTAGCCAGGCTGGAGTGCAGTGGCGTGATCTTGGCTCACCGCAACCTCCGCCTCCTGGGTTCAGGCAGTTCTCCTGCCTCAGCTTCCTGAGTAGCTGGGATTACAGGCACGCACCACCATGCCCAGCTAATTTTTTGTATTTTTAGTAGAGACGGGGTTTCACCATGTTGACTAAGATGGTCTTGATCTCTTGACTTTGTAATCCACCTGCCTCGACCTCCCAAAGTGCTGGGATTACAGGTGTGAGCCACCGCGCCCGGCCAAGGAACAGAATTGTTATTTAAGTAATTGATTTCTTCTTGACACATATCCAAAGTGTGATGTGTAAAGAAGAAAAGAAAGCCAGCTTAAAAAATTCGTTAAAGGCCTCCAAATGTTCATGGTTGGTAATTATGAGTAAAGTAAGATAATTTGTTTTAACGTCCACTTGCGTAACTTCCCTGTTTGTTCTGCCACTGAGGTAGCTTTTCCTTTCTGTGTGTGTCCTTGTTATTCCTTAATTATTTCTTGGACTGTCCTCCCTTACCTTTTTAAAATAGAAACCCAATTCATTATCTTGAGCCTGGTTTCTGGAATTTTCCCTGACTTCTCACTTAGAAATAACTCTTTACTTTCTCACTTTCTTGAACCCTGTGTATCTTTTTATATTAGCGGTCACTTTATTTTTATTTTAATTAATTATGTCCTTTTATTCTGATTCTCTTAGATTGGAATTTTCTTAAAGATAGATTTATTTATCTTTTCCTTCTTCCTAGTGGCAAAACTCTGTGGCTTACATATATGGGCAGTCACATATAATACATATGTTGAATTCTGAATGCACTTATATATTTAAAGAAAAATATTTGTATTTTAGAAGTCATTATAGAAGCAATAAATCTTAATTGTATGATAACCACATTAAAAGTATAACGAATATTTAATGTTGGAATTTAGTTTCAGTGGTAGAAGATGGTGGATTAAGCTGGCTAAGGAAGTCTTATTTAAGAATGAAGGAACAAGCTGAGAAACAAAATAGAAACTTTGAGGACATTGTAGCCGAAAGATATGGGGTGAGTATCTGGATTAAGGATATGGGTCTTATTTTCAGAATTATGTGAAAAATTAAGTGCCTTTAACTTTGTTTTGTGCCATGAAGAATTGAATTAATATTACATTTCATGTCTTTATACTACTGAAGTAATTTTCTGCTTTTCATTACTATGTAAACCTGTATCTATTTTTTATTGGCTTAATGAATGTAAAGCTTAAGTTTATAAAACTTAAGTGTGGGTGTGTTTAGTGTAAAAGTAACATTTTTTCATTGTGATAAAATTTAAACAATGCTGGAAAGTTTGCATGGTACACTTCTAGAGGTAACCACTGTTGAAATTTTTGTATATTCCAGAGTTAGGTATATTCTAGAGTTTGGGTGTTTTACAGAATTTTTTAGAAGAGTGTATATATACTCTTAAAACAATAAAAGCATGCAACAGTATATATTTTAGAGCCAGTTTCCCCATTTTTTCTGGACAATCTTTCTATTGCAATAATTATCGATGTTCTTATTTTTTTTCTCAATTACCAGAGGAAAGCAGGTTTAGAAAGTAGCAAGAGTTTTGGAATATACTTTTCCAGGTATTCTCCCCCTGCTTTCTAAAGTAGGCTTATGGAATATGCCCTGGCTTTTTTTTTAACTTAATTTACACATAGTTTGGTGCCAGTTATTATATACATGTTAATGACCTCTTAATATTTTAATATACGTTTTATAGGATTTTCCTTCATCTATTGGTCAGTGGATGAACATTTATATGCTTTCCTTTTCCCTTGTTGCAAGGGAATATGCATTTTGCATATTTTTCTTACTGGTGAATTACTGGAAATGAAACTGCCTGTTTAAAGGATATAGACATTTAGAGCAACGTACCTGTTGCCAGATTTCCTATGGAAAGAATGAACACATTATGCTTAAGAATATCTTTTATCACATAATTTTCAACAGTAAGATTATTCCTTATAGTTTATGTTATTGTGATTGGCAAAAATTTTAAGTTTTGCTTTTGTTTTTATACATTTGTTTACTGGTAAATTGGAATTTTTTTAATATTTATTTTGGCCATTTGCATCTTCTAGTGAATCAACTATTGATATTATTTGCCCATTTTTCCTTTGGAATAATGATTTAAGACTTTTTAATAAATCTGTTCAGATTTCTTCCCCTCAGCTTCATGTTTGTTTTTTACTTTGCTTATAATTTGCTATGGATGTTTGACATAGTTTTACCTATCAAAACCCCTCATATGATTTTTTCATGAGTTAATGCTCATTGGCAGGCCTTCGCCACCACCACAGTCGTAAGAACGTACAGCTATATTTACTTTGAGTACATTTAGTTTAAGCTCACCAGAAATAAACATTTTTCCAAAATTTATTATAAATTTATAACTTTTTGGAATTTTGATTTAACTAAATGAATAGATAAATTAAGAACAACTAGTATCTTTATAATATACAGTCATCCCATCCCAAAACACCAAGTATTTATTTATGCATTTCATGAGTTTTCTCAGCAGTTATTATCTCTATGCCACTGAGGTTATTTTTATTTTTTTCAATTATAAGTTGAAACTAAAAATGTTTTCTGACTTGCTATTGGTGTTGGTTGGCCAATTTTTTAAACTTTTTATTCTAATTTAGAAAATTTTGGGTTATGTGGGAAGGTAGTTATATGCAAATAATTATTTTGCTTTTTTCCTCTCTGTTAAAATATTTAAACTTTCTTTTCTTTTTGAAGTAGTTATAATTTTAGAACTTTGATGAGAGGATTGGAAGCTGGTATTCTTGTCTTTAAGTAATGACTTCTTGTGTTTAAGATTATATCATGTTTAAGTATCTTTACATTCAAAGTTGAGTAAAAGGTGCTTTTTTGTTTGTTTTTTAAAATTTTTATTTATTTATTTATTTATTGTGTTGTATTCCAGGATGTTTTGATATGCACAAGGAAATAATTACTACAGTTAAGCAAATTAATGTATTATTTATCTCACATATTCTCCTTTTTTGTCTGATAAAAGTACCTAAAATCTACTCTCTTAGCAAATTTTCAGTATATAATGGGGTATTATTAACTGTAGTCCTCTTATTGGACGTCATGTCTCAAGGCTTAGTTATCCTATAAAATGGAAACTTTGTACTCGTTGACCTCCGTCTTCCCATCCCCTCTCCTTGCAGTAACCACCTTTCTGCTTTCTGTTTCTGTGTGTGATGCATCTTTTCCTTGAAAATTGTTTTAAACTTTGCAACTACAAGGACATTTGTTTAGACTTGACCATTGCATTTCCCATTTGGTTTTTAGCATCTGTTTTTTTTTTTTTTTTTCTTTCCAGAGATCTTTGCCCTAATTCATTTATGGAGTGACTTAATCATGTTGAGCAATTTTTTGCCCTCAGAATTGCTAGTGCTATGCCCTCTTATTCTCTGCATTTTTCAAAATGATTTTCTTTTTCTCATACCTAGGAAGGATAATTTGATTGTAAATTGAATTCTTTATGTAGAATTATAGCTTAATTTTTTTAAAATTTCATCTTGAGTCTATTATTTATTTATTATTATAGATGAACAGCTGATAAGTCTGTCTTTCTTTTGCACGTAATTTGTTATTTATCTACCCCTATCCAAATGCAGGCTCACACTTATTCACTCCTTCTCCAATCTAGTCATTGTAAAGGATTTTCTTTTTCCTTGAGTTTTGAGATTCAGGAATTAGGGTTTTTTTCTGTTTTTCTTTGTTTCTCTTCTCCACCCAAGGCTATTGGATGAGCGCTTCTGAGAAATTGACTGGGGAAAATTTTCTTATATATTTTTAAAATTAATGCTCTTCTCCCATCATCTTTGCTCCATCTTTCTGGAAGCACTAATAAATGTATATTAGATTTTCTAGAATCATTGTTCATGTGTCTTTCTTTCTTATAACTTAACATTTATTTACTACCTTTTCCTGAAATGTAGAGAATTCCCAGGTTAATTTAGGTTTCAGCACTCTCTGTTCTTCCTTTTGTGTATCTGGGCATTTTTTTGTGGCACGTAATTTTATATTTGCAAGTTTTTCTTGTTCTTGAATTATTATTATGTTTTTCATGAGAGTCTGTTTTAGCATTTTAACCTCTTGAGTCTCACAACCAGTAGGAATTATTTTGTGAAAAGTTTGTCTTTACTGTTTTCAGTGTTATACTTTGTATTAGTGCAGAGCATTTGGTCTAACTGGCTGTTTTTGGGGTATCTATTTGTTATTTGATAATTTTTAATTGTTTATGCATGTTTTTAAAAAGTGTGTCAGTGTAGGATGATTATAGGGGTCTTCTTTCACCCCCTTAGTGGGCTCTTCAGTATGCCGCTTGGCAGTGAGTCATACAGTGACATGTGGGGTGCAAGTCACTGAGCCATTCCTAATTTTAGATATCTTGTTTAATTTTTCTCCTTTGTAGTCAGTGGAAGTATTTCAGTCGAAATTAGAAGACGCTGAAAAAGCTGCATCCATAAAAGAAGATTATAGACGAGAACGGTGGAGGAAACCCACATATTCAGATAAAGCAAAAAATAGTCAAGAAAGTAGAAAATCAGACTTAGTAAAATATGATAACAGTTCACGTGATAGATATGCTACAACAGACTCTGCAAAAAATAGCAATAATGATAAATGTATTGGTGATGAAAAAGATAAGAGACCTGGCTCTTTAGAAACATATAGAAGAGAATCTAACCCAAGGCAAACTCAAGAGTTTTCTTCTGGAAATTTGAGAGCTAAATTCTTGAGACCCTCTGATGATGAAGAACTGTCATTTCACAGCAAGGGCAGAATATGTGAACCATCTAGTTCATCTTCAGCATTGGTAGCTCAGGGTTCTTTGCATAGTGGTTTCAGAAAACCCACCGGGAACAGCGAAGAAAGATTAACATGGAGTCACTCTGATGGGAGAGGAGACAAGAAGCATTCAGATCAAACGCCGCTGGAAACCAGTACCAGTGAATACCAACACATTACCGAAGATACGAGAGAAAAACCGCGAGATGAAGGCTTCAGAGATGACCCTCCAGACAAACACCTGCAGGACCCAAAGGCTGCATTTGCTGGGTATTTTATCATTTTTTAACCGAGAGTTCAAAGAACTGAAATGTAATTTTAGAGCATCAGTTGTTAACTGTGACTGTGGTCTCACACATCTTAAAATTGATAGAAAGGGTAAGATAGGCACGTTTAACAATGCAGTAATATTGTATTATAGATTGCATTTTTTTTCACAGGTTTGCTTCTTTTTTAGAAGAGCTGAAAGAATTCAGTAGCTGTATTTTTTCAAAATATGTTGCTTCTTTGCAATTCAAAAAACAGAATGAGTTAATGTTTTCAATGTATGTGCTGTAGGAGAAATTTTGGTAGATTTTGTTACCAGTGCCATTATTTTCTAAGTAAATTATCTTATTAAGTATAATCATAATCATAAATAATGTATGTCTGCAGGAAGTCTAGGAGACAAAAGGAAACCATACTACCACAGCCCAATATAAACAAATATGTGCCGGAGATCTTGCAAAAGGCAGCATGAATTATGGTTGTTATTTTGCACAGAGAAAGAAATAATCCACTTTGGACGATTGACAGATTTTAAAGATAATGTTAGAGTTTTAAGTGTAAAATATATGTTGCACTTATGTAGGGCTGGGTCAGAAGATGAGGAAACCCCCGTTGAATGAGACCAAACCTAAGAAAACTTGCTTTAGCTATAAGGCTGGCCCTGTTGAAGATAGCCAGAAAAAAAAAAAGTGTCCAGAGTGTAATAACTTACACTTGAATGATCATTTAAATCTGGCACCAAATGAGTGGGACACTCCTAAAACGTCTTCAAAAAAAGGAAGAGGTTTTAGGAAGTAATAGAAACCCTTTGGTTGTAGTAAATAAAAGCACTGTGGTTTGGGGTGGTGAGTCTGATAAATCACTTTTGTTAATGACTCCATCTGAAGCAGTGGATTATAAAACTCAGTGTGTAACTTTCAGTGGGAGGGAGCTGGCAAAATCAGAACCGCGTGATTAAGCCCCAGTCAAATGGGCTCTGGTTCAGGTCAGGGCTTTGCTCCCAGGAAACAGAAGGAGAAATCCAATTGTATTGACTGAATAAACATGGCAGGGATTAGTGCCTAAGCCTGTGTGCATATATAATTATCCTGTCTTCTCTCCAGGTACCCTGAGTGGTAGACTGTTTTCAGTTCCCAGCCACTAGGAAATGAGGCTGTTATTTCCTGATGTCATTAGGATTTGGGTTAGCATTTGGATGATCTGTAGGTCTTCTGTGACTGTAGCTGAGCAAAATGTCTACTACACAATTAGTATTCCAACTGGTTTTCTGGTTGTTGCATATTTGCATGTCTTGTTTAAGTTGTGATCTTCTGATAGATACACTATAATACAGGCACTCACTAAAAGCTGTGTATGTATGTGTGTCTGTGTGTATATATAATTTTTTGGTTTGAAGAGAGCATTCACTAAAAGGTATATGTGTGTATATATGTATGTATATTTGTAATTTTTGGTTTGAAGATACTATTCTTTGTTATCTGTGTTAATTTGATAGTAGAGAGGATTTGAAGCTTTCTGTAATTCTGTGACTGGCCGGAGAGGGAAAGAAAAATCTAGGAATCATCCAAAAAAAGAAAAAAGATTCCTCAGATTGTAGAGTGGTTGTAAAGTAGGAGACCAAGATAGAATGCCTAGAAAGGTTCAGTGAAAGATTGTTAGAAATTATTCATTTGTCGAACATTATCCTGGGAATATGTTGAATTTTTTATGAAGTGCTAGAATTCCAGAAAGTTCTAGGACTAATGAATTTTAGAACTAGAGAAAAAAAGCATAGAAATGATTTAGAACCAAAAGAAATAGTCTGACCCCTGCATTTTGCAGATGCAGAAACTGAGGGAACTCATTTTGTGACTTACACAATGTTATATAACTAGGATTTCCAGGTTCTTTTTTTAATAAAAAATGAGTTCCTTGTAATATTTGGACATATGTATGCTAAAAAATTTTTGTTGTTTACCTGGAATTCAAATTTAGCCAAGTGTCATGTATTTAATTTAGCAATCCTGTGTATAACACTTATGCATTTCCTGGGTTTATGACCTTACACAAGAGGTGACACTTTGCTGTGCTTCGGTTTTCTTATCTTAAACCAGGATACCAACAGGATCTACTTCATGGGGTTGTTGTGTGAGTTAATGTGTGGATACTAATGTATAATACTACTTAGCCTAGTATCTGGTACCCAGTAGAGGCTCCATAAATCTTAGCTGTTACTGATATCATTGATATTATTATGTAATTAGTTATTTGCAGAGCTTACACTGTATTCTGATGTCTGTTTGGCATGTTCTCAAATAAGGTTAAAGGGAGAACCTTGAATTTGCTTTTGAAAGAAAAATCTTTTCCTTTTATACATTGATTATGGAAAAGTTATTGATACCCTTTGTGAGAGTAATTTTGTTAGAAAACAAGAAAAGTTGATCAGTGAGAGGCATAGGAGAGAGAAAAAGAGATAGATAAGCAGCAAGAAGGGAAGAATTTTCAGCGAAGACTGGAGGACTGGAAAATAACTTTGTGTCTTGTAAAATGAATATTGCAACATATCATGGGGCAGTCTACCAGACTGTAAGTTGTTACAAATAATATCTTTGTCTTATATGAATGGTCATCATTGGAAAAATTAGTTGAATTGGTTTTTACTTTTTTATATGTCTTGTTCTTTTATCTTTACCTTTCTTGCTGTTTATACCAGTTTTATTTTTTAGAACATGCCATTTACAATCTGAATAAATGTATATGTATAAAATTTAAACAATATAGACAGAAGGGTATAAAACAAGAGTATAAAACTTAGATGTGTATAAAATGAAAGAGTAAATCTCCCTTTCATGTCACTTCCACCCTAATCCTATTTGCCAGGTTAATAGTGTTGATAGTACCTTTCCAAATTTTTTAGTGTATTTGAAAATGTGTAATATATATAGTTAACATATAAAATTTTATATAAAAACTTAAATATATATTTAATATGTAAGTGAAATAACTCTACAATGCATATACCATTTAGAGTCTTGGCTTTTTTCTGAATAAGTATATCTTAAAGATCCTTTACTTCAGCCCAAATGTACCTACATTTTTTATTTTAAAGGCTCCTTAATACTCCATTGTAAAACTTGGGCATAACCTAATGTTTTTCACCAGTTTCCTGTTGATGGACTTTTTAGGTTGTTTCCAGTTTGCTGCTCTAAGAAACAATGCTGCATTTAATTTTTTGTGTGTATCTTTGCATGCTATTTAAATACAGCTGTAAAATAAGTTCTAAGGACTGGAACTGTAAGGTCAAAGAGTACATGCATTTTACCTTTTTTTTTTTGAGACGGAGTTTCGCTCTTGTTACCCAGGCTGGAGTGCAATGGCGCCATCTCGGCTCACCACAACCTCCGCCTCTTGGGTTCAGGCAATTCTCCTGCCTCAGCCTCCTGAGTAGCTGGGATTACAGGCACGCGCCACCGTGCCCAGCTAATTTTTTGTATTTTTAGTAGAGATGGGGTTTCACCATGTTGACCAGGATGGTCTCGATCTCTTGGCCTCGTGATCCACCCGCCTCGGCCTCCCAAAGTTGCATTTTACATTTTACGTATTTTGCGGTATTAACCAATTTAGACTCTTACAGTCATGCATGGGAATGACTTTTCTCCTACTTCTTGATGATAGTATTATTGAACTTTTTAAAAATCTTTGCCATATATGTAATTAAGAAACGGACTGTTTCTTTGACTTTTATTTTTTTAAATATGAGTGAAGTTGGCCGTATTTTTGTGTGTTATTTATGTTTTTTGTTAAGTAGTCATATGTTTTGCCCTCTTTTTGAGTTGTTGTGAGAGCTCTTTATATTTGTCATGTAATGCAAGTAGATTTTTCATCATTTGTAATTTTCCTATTTTTCATTCATTCTTTCTTGAATGTGTTCAAATTTATCACTCTATTCCTTTATTCATTTTAGGCCCTGTAGTTACATTAACTAGCAGAAAAACATCCACTGTTATGGCCGGTGCAGTTAAGAACCTTGAACTTTTTATTATTAGAAATAAAATGTGCTTTTGCATATATTTTTCTTTTGTTAGAAAATATATTGGCTAAGTATTTCCAGGAATTTGAAACTCAGAGTAGTATGTAATGTGAACAAAAATTAATGAGTTGTCCTTAATTTTGGTTTTATAAATTTAATATCAGAAACTTATTTAATGTAATATTGTAACCTTTGGGTGTCATTCTAGGCAGAGTTTGTTACTGTAGCACAAAGGTCAACTGAAGGATGCTGGGTTCTGAAGTCTTTGAGCATGGTTGTGAGATCCTTAGGCAAGGAAGCAAATCTGAGAGCAGCCGGTGAGAAAATAAGGGAGATCTGTGAGCACTGCCAGCAGAGGAATAATAGAGTCATACATGGCTTAGCAGTGGGGATGCATTCTCAGAAACTGTCATTAGGCACATTCATTATTCGGTGATTTTGTCATGTGAACAGCATAGTGTGCACTTACATACACCTAGATGGTGCAGCTTAGTACATACCTACACTATATGTATGTACAGCCTTTTGCTTCTAGGCTTCAAAGTACAGCATGTTACTGTACTGAGTACTGTTGGCAGTTGTAACACAATGATAAGTATTTGTGTATCTAAACATAGAAAATGTATGATAACAATAGAGCATTATAATCCTATGGGATCACTGTCTTATGTGGTCTGTCATTGACTGAAATGTCATTATGCTATGGATGACTAATTGCAGGTTTTAAAAATGTTGTTGTGATGGAGCTCTTTTAATTATTTATTCCTCAAAGCCTCTGTGTGTGTGTGTGTGTGTGTTTCAAATAGTACATTTTAATGTGAAAATAAGATTTGCTTTTTAGAAATTAATTATAAAAAGGACTTCTGAAATATAGCAGTAATTTTGGAAATTGAGACATGCTTGGGCTTTTTTTCTTTTTGCAGGATAATTGCAGGTGTCATGGTGATGTTTCTTTGAAAGCATTTGCTCATCATTATAAATGCTTAGGGAAAGA